AATGACTTCCGGCCACTTTGATGCTCTCGACGGCAGTGGTGTGAACGCACTGTTAGAGAATGTGTGCCTCCCTGTTTGGATTTTAACACTAGAGGGCATGTTCTGCTTTCGCATTTGTCTCGGCATAGAGCACGCGCGTTCAGAGTTACACGCTCATCGTGATGAGTCACGGTGTCTAGGCTCCAGTCGTCTCCACTCCAATTGTTCCTATTCCTGAGGGATGCGGGACAAAGCATTTGTGTCTCATGGCCCGGTTCTGCTGTTGCCGCAGCACAGTTTCTCACCTCGCGGTTATCGCTGTGATCTGCGGGATCCACACGCCCTATCTAAAAAGGGTTGTCAGTAGGCCTGTCACGATAACAACTTCTTGTTGTGCGATATATTGCCCCAGAAGTAATTGTGATAAGCGATATTATTGTCATTTTAAAGTCCATTTTATGCCACTGAATATATAATCATAATGTAACCGCATAATAATGCAAGGCGGCATACACACTTCCAAATGACAAACTTTTAATTAAGAATATTTAGATAATGGAAATTAAGTATCAAAATATTAGATACCTTAAACTTGAATAACAGTGAATAAACATTTTCTAACAAAAAGTGCAAAGTAACAAGTACAAAAAAAGAAAAATGCACAAAGAACTTGAAGAACATAAAGAAGATCTGTAAAGTTGCACAGACTAAAGTCTCAAATCCAAAGAGATATTCTTTATAAAAGTTGAGTCAACCACGCCTACCTAAAACGGCTTGTTCCAACACGCCCCCACATATCTACGTCACTATGTGGGAAGATTTGCATAACGCCGCCCAAAGAAGGTGTAACTTTTATTCTCGCTGTAGTATTGTTGTTGTTGCCGCCGCTGTGTCGTGAAGGCGCTGTGTGTTTCCTTTTGAAAGCAAAACTACTTTGTTTGGCCTTCCAAATGAGGACGATATCCGCTTCGTCTTGCCTGTAGCTGATCCGTGCTGGTCACTGAGGAAATACATCAACTCCGTGCTGTGGATCGCAGGATTGGCTTTCACTGTGGACGAAGCGGAGTCCAGCCCGGGGTCGTCACATGTGGTTGCCGCAAGCCCGTCGGACGCTCCTTCGTCGAATCCGCTGGCCGCGCTGTTCTCAAGCCCCCCGGCCTCCGCTCACTCTAGCCGCTGTGTGTGACGCTGTTCATTGTGAAAGCGAAACTACTTTGTTTGGTCTTCCAAAAGAGGACACGACAGAGTAGACTACAATGCCGGCTGTTCTGACTCACAGTCTGTAAGTACGTTTTCATATTTAAAGAATTTGCCACTGATGATTCAAACGCGAGTTTTGAGCAGTGTAGAGTAGCGCTTGTTGTTTGTCATTTCTCCGATCACAAATGCAGACATGGTTTTATGTTTAGGCAGCACGGTGTAACGCAACACGTAAAAAGACAGTATAAGTCATTATAATCCGTAATCATGTCCCCACTGGATGCAACAAATGCCTAGTTTATAATGGGTTTTAATGTTTATGTCTTGTTGCTCCAGCCGGATACGGCATCACAATATGGTAAAGGGCGTAACATTTCCGTCACATGCTTGAGGTATTCGGCTAATCACAACGCACTGGATAGCTGGCCAATCAGAGCACACCTCGCTTTTCAGACCGATGAGCTTTGTAAACATCGACGTGTTTCAGAAAGGCGGGGCATAGAGGAGAAACGATGTACAGTATGTGGAAAATGTTTTTTTTTACCTTAAACCGCATAAACGCATTTCATTACACTAAATACACAAAAAAAATTATTTTTAGCAACATCATATGACCCCTTTAAATGCTCTCAGCATCAAAGTATGAATGAAACAATAAACGGTGTTTGGAGGGAGAAGCTTGACCCAAAATAAGTACATTATAAATGCCTGTTTATGGAAATGGAAATGTATCAGCAAAGATACTGAACAAATAAAATGGCAAAACTGTGTATCTCTGCTGTCTTGAGGTAAATGATGTGGAGAGTGTTTGCATATTGATCAGATGCTTCAGTGCTCTGAGAGTGTTTATAGTGCTGTGAGTTTAACACTTCATCACTGAGAGCTTTTCTCTATTTTAACTGAAAGGGCAACCAGAAAGAAAATGATGATCATCAGCGTCTGTATCTGGACACTCATTCTTTTTGCTCAAGGTTAATTTGCTCTTTTAATAACTCAAAATGTGATTTATATGCATGTTCGATGGTAAAACTGATTTTGTTCTGGATACTTTAATAACTGTTGCCATTATTATCATATGAAATGTCATTTACAGAAACTGCAGGACAAATTTCTGTGACTCAGACTCCCTCAGTAGCAGCTGTTCAGCCAGGAGAAACAGTTACTATAAACTGTCAAACTAGCAGAGGAATCAGAGAACATTCATGGGGTTGTGGTGGCTGTTTCTCCTGGTACCTGCAGAAACCTGGAGAAGCTCCTAAACTCCTCATTTATGGCATTAGCTCACGACAGTCAGGAACTCCATCTAGATTCAGCACTCCAACAGAGAAACATGTTCAGAACGGACAGACAGTCACTCTGAGCTGTAAAACCAGCAGCGCTATTGGAGACCAGTCAGACGGTTGGTGTAAGAACTGTTTCTCCTGGTACCTGCAGAAACCTGGAGAAGCTCCTAAACTCCTCATTTATGGCATTAGCTCACGACAGTCAGGAACTCCATCTAGATTCAGCAGCAATGGAGCAAATTATGGAACAGATTTCTCTCTGACCATCAGTGGAGTCCAGACTGAAGATGCTGGACATTATTACTGTCAGAGTGTACACAGGATCAACAGTAATGTTGTGTTCACACAGTGATAAAGAGTGGTACAAAAACCTCCGTCAGTCAGAGTCACAGTGATGAACTGATGCTGCAGCTGCTCAAACACTATCACACACTACTGACACACCGAGACCAAACACAGAACTACACATGAGCTCAAAACTGAGTTCTGAGTGAAATCAGCTCTATTACAGTGATCTGACCTGTGTCAGACGGGTTTGACTCAGTTATGTTCAGAATCAGAAAGCACAGGGTGTAAGTTGATCTATAGTAAAGTCATTGTGTAGCAACATAAACATGTTGTTTAACAGTTTCTAAAGTAGCTTCTCCATCTCAAGCTGATGATGAATTTATGATTCATAACTCATTTCTCGTGAGCAGAAGTGAAACTGTTCCAGTTCAGAGCGTTTAACCAATTTGTGAACTTTATCAAGAATTATGGACATAATTATATTACAAAATAATTTAATATATATCAAGCTATTTCAATCAATGAATTAAAATGCAGTTAAGTGTTAGCAATAATAAGATGAGAAATTATTCATGAAAAAGTTAAAATTGAAAAGATATGAAATATGAATTTAAATGAAAAAACAAATGTCATGAAATATCACTTAATATTAATACATAGTTGTAAAATAGCAGACAAAATTAACTAACTATGAGGCAAATTAATCATGAAATGTTGCAATTCATGAATAAACCTTTCTAACGTTCTTAATTTCAAAAACAATTTATAATAACTTTTGCCAAATGTTTGCTTAATAAAATTAAGTAAATTAAAATAGACTATCATACATTTTTATGATAGAATTGAAGAGACTTACTGATGGTCAGTTTAGTTCCTCCACCAAAAGTGTAGCACAGTGAAAGCGTCGTACAAAAACCTCCGTCACACTCAGATGAACACAAACTCCACGACACTCACACACACTGATATGAGACTCAACAGCAGCGATGGACTAATGTAAAAAATGGCACAAAGCATTCATCTTTAAAAATACTAATAAACATTTTTTTTTGCATGAAGGCTGAATTCATTAGTTTCATAATCACTCCCAAAATACATTCATTGCATTTTTGTTACACATGTGATTTTACACTCTGCTAATTCTATTTACATGCTCTATAATGAAACCTTTAACCAGATTTAGATGGCCATTCTCTATTAGATGACCTTTGACCTGTTATACAGTATCATGGATGATATCAAATCTGCACAACAGATATTAAATGCTCTCAGCATCAAAGTCTGAATGAAACATTAAATGGTGTTTGGAGGGAGAAGCTTGACCCAAAATAAAAAATGAAGGAC